TAGTCTGCAGCATTTGCAAATCGAGAATGTTTCATTTTTAAATTCAAACTCTTCTAAGTTGTGAAACGTAATTTTTTGACTCAAAAAAAAAAAATTTGCACTGTGACGGAGCTAATTAATATTACTAAAGTGCCCAAAATAAGTGTTTATAACACTGTGTAAAGCAAATAAATATCTGCCACTTTGTTTTTGAAAATATATGTTGTTTATTGTGTGGGTGTAAATGTGCTTTGGTCAATTTCTATTATTATGTAAATGATATGCAAATTAGGCCGCCACAGTGGTTTAAATTCCTGGGGAGAACACTGAAATATAATTTGAAGAGGGGCGCTAATTTGAATAAAATTAGCATATCTAATTTGCATATAATTAGCATACTAATAAAACATTTCAAAGAAAATTCTTAGCACTTTTATATTTACATCAACCTTAAATACTGTGTACAAGTACTATATTACTATATCATTCATTTCTTTTAAATTTCTTTCAAGTATTTTCATAGGCTTTATAATGCACTGACATATTGTAATAGTTGAAAAACCCAAGTAATAAGAAGAAAAATATTTTCACATACCGTATTACCCCGGGCACGCGCCCCTCCCTGGGCAAGCGCCCACCCCCTGTTTTTACAAAAGTTACATGTTGGGGACGGTTAAACGCCCAGGGTGATTTTTAGCCAAGAACGGGGTCAACAATAAAGTTTTATTTGTCAAAAACGGACGCGTTCGATTTATTAAAATAATGTGTTTGTTACGGTAGTTCTCTTTTTGGAGTGTGTGGTGGCCCTGAAAAGGGCCGTTTTGTTTATGTTTTTACGTAAAAACTCATTGGAACTTAACGACGTAAGATGAACCACGCAGCATGTGGCGCACACGTTCTGCTTTCTCTTCATTCACGATGAATCCAATATTGCAATATTGCAATGATCCATACCTTGGTGAGTGGTTTGAAGCACTTAGCTTTGATTTCAAAACGTAGCATTTCGCTGACTGTGAATCCATAACGGGAGCTAGCACTTTTGAGACA